GAATTCTGTCGAACCGTTCAATCAAAGAAGGCGGCGACGATTTGTCGAGTGGCCGGCAGTTTTTATCGAGTGTAGTACTCCTATCATATAAAATTCCAGTAATCAAATCCAGAACAGAAGATTAATTGTTATCTCTGATGAATAAGAAGTGTAAATAACTTATAAACGTGATTTGAACAACTAATTATTATGTCCTGCTACTGGAGAAAATCCCAATAAACGAATTGCAAGATTACGTCGTATCTTATTTATTAAATCAGAAAATACATTTAATTGCTTAAAAATAAAAAACAATATAAGAACAAATTGAGGCTGAGGTAATGTCATATAAGCTTTTATTAAAAAGCTAGAAAAAAAACCCCAACAAATAAAGTTAGTCACATACAGTAAAGTAACGTTTAAAAAGGTTATATGAACGTTACTATATATCTACTCCTATGTAATTCCCTCTATAATACAGTACAGTCATATACTGTTGTATAAAAATAATTTTCTATCTTTGAATTGTGTTTTAAGAACAAAATAAAAACATTTTGAGCCTCAAATTTGAAACATAGTAAGAACACTGGGGCTAGGCAAAATGATACTGGTTCTTATATATAAAAAAAAGTATTTGAAACATTGAATTACTAAGAAACAAAATGATTCAGAAATAGTTTCATTGTCTGCTGAAAGACATGACCTATGCTTGGACCTGAAAAGTTGTTTAAATTAAAAAATTGTAAATATCGCGGAAATGAAATAAACAAAAAAGCTTTTGAACAAACTGAAAGAGTCCAAAGCACACGAGATTGCAAAAGCTATAAACGCCAACTGATAATGTTAAAATATTTGAAGCTGATCGAACACTTGCGAAGACAAAGTATACAGTACGTTGCAAACGATAACAACGGGTTAATATATCGTCTGATAACAAACAGACAGAAGTTATTGGTAATTGGTTTTTTGAGCACAAGTCCTGATGGTGTGCCGAACGAACGGTTAAATTTGGCAGGAGAAGACTGTGAAGAGTCTAAAATGCTAAAGTCGCATACAAATGCTCTGTATAGGTACGAGAGTGAAATTTTCGGGCATTTTTGCACCTCAGCCCCAACCATGATGGGGCTAAGATCTGGCGTCGACTCTCACGCACCCCCCACCGCCAAACCCTGCATCAGCTCCTGCTGCATTAGGCGTTTATTTTTTTTTAGTGTAAAACGGATACGTCGTACAATAACATTATTAATGAAATTCAAATTTCAAATTCAAATAAACATTATTTTCCTTATTTTACATAACATAATCAGATAATAATAGTATTATTAATATCATTAAAATATAATTAATAATAATAATTAAATAATCAATAGGCCTAGTTTAACTCTCGCCTAGGCATGTCTATACTTTGTAGAAGTAGACCTCTGTCTAGTACTTGAGACCTAGTTTACTCCTAACATCTGTAGTGTACACTATACTGTTCATTTTTTATTTGCCTAGCCTAGCCTATCCAATTATTATATAGGTCTAAGCTATAAGTACAAGAATAGATATACCTAGAATGATTAATAAATACCTAATAAGGTCTAACTCGCTATTGTAGCCTATACCTAACATTGTAACACTCTACACAATTTTTTAAACACAACACCGATACGCGGCGCCCTACTCCACTGGCCTCCCATCATGCAAGTCGGTTGATTACACCATAGACCTATTAATAGGTCCATGATTACACGATTTTGGGCTAGCTGCTTGGTTCTTAATCTACCTATATTCTTTGGTGGTATTTGAGTCCCTTCATTCAGAAAGTGGGCGGAACTAAGGAAACAAGAATACAATTGGTTCGTAGCGCCAATTGTAGCGCCAAAGGGATTGTTTTGAGTGACTAACTGCATGGTTTATAGCTGTATAGCAGTAATAAATAATAAGAAAGAGTCAAGGCTATACTGAAATCATAAGATTAGGCAGATCATACAGAATTCGGTGAGTAGAATTACCTTCTGAAATACTGTATAAAGCCTGTTTTCCCAGGTTTATTATGTCCCCCTGTAGCGGAAATCAGACAATCAATAATTGTGTGGTTTCTTTCGCAAGGCTTTTGTAGATAATGAACTTTTTGAATTTTTTATTCTAAAAGGGAATTTAAATTGTTTATCTGTTTATTATTTTAACAGTTGCTGTACATTACTTGCTTTAATATGTTTGTAAAATCGATATTTTAAACGTACCCCGTTTCAAAAGTGTGGATAAACAATTTGTTATTATTATTAGTCCTGCAAAGCTCAGTCAGCTAAACTGGTGCTGGTACTGTGTGCTTTACTATGAACATTCTGTTAGAGTTTTGTTTATGGTTCAGTTTCATTGCAAGTTCCAATTGGCGCATCGTCTTACGGAAATACGTTGTTGATCTCGTGATGTGGCCTGTACAGTGACGCATCGTAAAATGTGTACTTACAATTACCAAAAAAGGGCCAACTGGAAATGTTATGTCTCCAAAATATATTGTGTGTTTTAAACCATAAGGATTAATCTAAAACCATTAGTGTATTTTTTTTTTTAATTCTAGAATCACTAATTTTCAATAGTATTCCTCAGCTTATCAAGATATTTCCCATATCTCAACGTTATCATCCAAAGTAAAGTAATCAAATAAAACAGGTAAACATAAACTTTTGTTTGTTTTTTTTATTTGGTATCGTAAATAAGCAATGGTAATAAAAATAAGTTGGAAATGTAAAATATATATTTAAACAACTGTATAGCCGTGTTAGTCTAAACAATAATTGCGGGTATAAATAGGCAGCACTCTGAGACTACTGAGTTGTTTACTCAGTACGAACTCCCTCCGGCAGTCGATACTTATTAATGTAACTGACATCGGCTGCCAGTGAAGGCTCGTGCTTAATAAAGACTTAAAGCCACTTTCAGAATGCTGCCTCTTTATACCTGTTGTTATTTAAGCATTAATTACAATTGCTTAGACCTTTACTAATTCACTAATTACATTAAATTTAAATTTACATTTGATACAGAAAATGTGGACCTGTAACAACAACAACAACAACAACACCAACGGTTCCTTTTCTGAGATTAGTGAGGAAACCGATACTATTTTGTTAGTGTGTGCTTTTTTGCTCTCAACGATTGGCATTTCTGCAAATCTGACGGTTATTATTGTTTTTATCAACTGCAAAATTCATCGCAGATCCTTTACGTATCTTCTGGTTTTTCAACAGTCTTTGATCGATATGATAGTAAATTGCTGCTATTTAATATTCTTTTGTGTTTACCGAATTGTATCTGAAAAAAGTGACGACATTTACTGTAAGTCTTGTACGTTGTTATTGTTCTTTTTATCTGCATCGACGCTAAATCTTGTCTTCATTGCTGTAGAGAGGTACATCGCAGTAGTTCATCCGTTTAAGTACTGGATGAGAGGTGACAACACAAGAAGCATGTTACCGCAGTTGTGTATTCCATTCATCGCTGCGTTTCTAATAACATTTCAATATTTCTTCATACTAGAGCCGGACTCTCTACATCCCATAAAATGTACCTTTTGTTACAAAAACGTAGTCTTTCAGATCTTGTCAGGCATCATTTTATTGCTGGCAAATATGCTATGCCCAATTTGCACAATGATATTTTGTTACCACCGCGTTTACTTTACACTGATGAAACAATCTAAAATTCGAGCAGAATTAACTACGGCAAGTTATATTGTAGCGGATAGTGAGATGAACATTTCGTCAACAAAATCCAATCAGATGGATAAGGCACAAAAAAACTTTATCATTACTATGTCAATCAACACACTGGTCTACGTAATTTGTATTTTTCCATTGCCATTGCTGTATCTGGTTTATACGATTTGTGATTGCTTTGACTTTAGTAATCACATCTCAAGTGAAATTGTCATAATTATTATCGTATCCAACACGGTAGTTAATCCGTTTGTTTACGCCTTCAAATTCAATGATTATAAAGATGGATTATATAAGACATTTTGTCGTCAATTTGACAGAACATCATCACCACCAACATCCTCGGCATTAACATAATAAAACATAATTATCATCATCTTCCTATGCTCACACAGTGTTATTCAACATAATTTAAATTAAACGTTATAACACAACCATCTTTACTTCACTTATACTTTCACTATTAGTATTATCATAATTATCACTGTCGTTATCAACGGTATCAGTATCACCATCACACTTACCGCAATGATAACATTAAAGTTATGCTTCTTAGAAATAATCATTCTAGTTATAATGAACACATTGAGCATGGTTGGTAACACAACATCTGAATAAGATTGTAAACAACTCTTACATATTAATAGAAATGTTGGATATAAAATCATAATTTTTGGGCAAAAGGGCAGTAGTTTAAGTAAAGCTTTTAGAAATACGCGACGCTGTCACTATCATAATGTTTACATAATAAATCTATGTGATTAGAATTGTATTAAGGGTTATAATATTGAATATTGCTACGTTTATTAACCATTATTTTAGAAAGACCATTGCACATGAAAAACAAGTTGTAAGTAAAAAAAAATTGTGAGCCAATAAGTTGAAACTAGAAGTTAAGATGAAGAATATAATAATAATAAAAAAAACTGGATTATATAGAGTACATGTTAAAATGTTGTAGTAAAATTATGTAGGCCTACACATTCCTTTCGTCACGTGTTTCTTAAAACTTAATTGACTTAATTGTTTTTGGATAACAAGGTCACCTGAAAAAAATAGTTCTATTTTCTCTATGGTTATTGGTTCTGTTATTAAATTATTGTAAATGAAGAACGACAACACATAATTGCGTTGTTATGTGATTATGCAGCATATCCTTAATGATTCTTTCTTACTTGATAACTGTAATATACTGAACCTAATACTTTTTCTCAATTGTTTTTATCCATTTCCAATACAGATTTAACTTTACTCCATTTAAATGCTAGGAGCTTATCGCAAACGAAAGTCGACCAATCATATATTTTGTTAACTACTTTAAAGCATAGATTTTCTGTTACCGGGATAAGTGAAACCCCTTGTGTAAAAGTGATTTAATGAATATAATTTATATTCTATTAATATTGTTAAGCAAATAGAAGGTGGTGTAACTTTTTATCTAAGATAATTTTGATGTCAATATAAGACACGATTTAAACAGAAATGACGATCATATTGAATGATTATTTATTGAAATTAATGTAAATAGGAAACCCACCGTTATTGGAGTCATTTATAGAGCACCTAATAACTCCATAGCTAATTTCAATCGAACGATTGATGAGTTATTGTCTAAAATTAATTTTGAAAAGAAAATATGTCACATTATTGGTGATCTTAATATCAACCTTTTTAAAATTGATGCCAACACACCTACAAATGTATTTTTAGAAATTTTTCAGACTCATATTATCCTTTAACTTATAAACCGACTTGTATAACTGATTGATCATTCATCTTTAATTGATCAAATTTTTACTAATCTAGTTCTACCTAACATTACTTCGGTCATATTAACTTCGGACCATTTGTCTATTTTTCAAATTATACAGAATAGTAATTAAAAAGATAATCAGTCTGGTCATTAATATATTTTTAAAATCGAAAACGAAGGAGCTTTTATCTCTGATATGCAGGAAGCAGATTGGTCTGATATTCTTTTAGAACAGCATATGCAATATTTTATTTAATTTTTACTCGTAATTATTATAGTGACTTAAATAAAATAAAGGTAAAAGTAAACAGCATTAAACAGCCATGGATTGCATCTGCCATTCTTAAATCTAGCCATAGAAAACATCTTCTTTAAAAAAGTGTATTGCTAAACTATGTACTGTGAACAAAAAATATGCTCTAGCTATCGCAACATTTTTGTCAACATCTGTAGAATTCAAAAAGAATTATTTCCATAATAAATTTGCTGAGGGTAAAAATAACATCAAACGTACCTGAAATGTAATTAACTCGGTTATTTTCCCCAACGTACGTACCCATTATTCTATTCTAAATAATATGTTCCATGAAGATATAAAGATTTTTGGTACACAAAACATTTGTGACTACTTAAATAACTATTTTATTAATATAGGTCAAAATATTTCAAAAAATTTTCCCCTTGATAACATTCCTATGGATTATATAATAAATTATTCTACAAATTATTTTTTTAATTCCCCGGTTGTTGATCAAGAAGTTTTAAATATTATAAATAGTCTTAAATTATCAAATAGCATCATCACGATCGCATACTTTAAAAAATAGTTAAGCTGTAAATATTTGTGTAAAATTTTATATGCACACATTTAACCCACATTTTTAATTTATCTTTTTCACAAGGAATTGTCCCAGATCATAAGAAAATTGCTAAAGTTTTACCGATCTTAAAAAGCTAACATTTCAAACTACAGACCAATTTCTATCCTCCCAAAAATATGCATAGGCCTAATCGGCTCTATAATTTTCTTGAAAACTTTAACCTATTAACACAATCTCAGTATGGTTTTCGAAAGAAACATAAAAAAAGAACACGCTGTAGGCCTAACTGAATTAGTCAGCAAAATCCTTAAATCATTTGAAAATAAAAAAATTCTCCTTAGTATCTTCCTTGATTTATCGAAAGCATTCGATGTCATTGACCATCAGTTACTACATATATAATTAGGTTTAAGTCATGCATAACATGAAACAATACACAATTATTCAAAATTTTAAGTCAGATTGTGAAATTATTCAAAATGGGGTTCCTCAAGGGTGAGTACTTGGACCATTATTATTTCTCATTTTTGTTAAAGATTTACACATTGCTTGCAACAAAATTAACATTATGTCCTTCGCTGATGGCACCATTCTATACTACTCCGACTCTAACATCATGAATCTATTTAGTACTCAATATATTATAAACTTGTAGAAGTAGCAAACTGGTTTAAGGCTAACAAGTTAACCATAAATTTTAATAACCAATTATATTTTGTTTAGATCATGTACATGTGATCTTCGTAATGCTATAATTAATATTGATGATAATATTATTGAGAATAAGCCTATTACATTATTTCTTGGTGTTGATATAAATGAAAATTTATGTTGGAAACCTCATTTAAAGTCTGTTCATCATAAAATTTCAAATACTACTGGTAAATTAAATAAAGCTAAATTTATTTTTCCTTGTAATACTTTATTTAAATTATATAAATTCTATCATTTTACCTCATTTGTTAAATTGTAATGTTATTTGGGAATCTAACTATCCAAGTACTATCAATGAATTAATATATAACCCAAAAAAGAATCGTAAGACTAATGACAAATTCTCATTATTTAGCATCATCTGGAACTTATTTAAAACTCTTATTTTTTGGAATATTTTGGATCTTAATAAATGTCGTAATTTATGTCTTATGCATAAATACTTGGATAATCAACTGTCACCCACAATTAGCAACATTTTTTCTTCTTGTAACCCTCCCAAAACATATTATACAAGAAATCTTATTATTCCATATTGCAGACTTTTTTTTTTCTCTAAACCACCAAGGTCCTTTTTGTTGGAATAACTTCCCAATTACACCGTATTAAAGAAATAAAAAAAATCCTTCATTTTAAGAAAGAGTTGAAGACGTATTATTTGTCCAAATATTGGTAATTTGATTCAGTCTGCTATTTCTTCTTTTGAGTACTCTCTCCCTTTGTATTTTTTTAGGTCAACCAAGACAAGCTCGGCTCGACTTCTAGGTTGGTCCTCATCAAATGCCTTGTTTTATATGTATATTTTGGCCATGATGAAATAAATGTTTTGATGATGATTTGAGTAAAGACTTATTGATCCCGACTAGGTTAGAAAAACTTTATTCTACTGGAATAGAACATTGAGTTTTGAGAATAATGTTGCTTCCATTAGATTTGTTTACATTAATTTGGAGGCGGGTGGTGAGGGGGGCATTTATTTGAGAAAAAAAATAAACGCCTCGTGCGTCTATTTTTTTTTTCTATATGATACTCTAGAGGGGTGTTTATTCGAGGTGGGCGTTTATTCGAATAAATACGGTATTATTTTATTAATAATAATAAAAAAGCCAAAAATGGAAATATTTATGTGTTTATCAGTTTAAGGTACTTTAATAAAATACAAAAACACCCAAACGGCTACAAGATTGTTTTGTCCGTACAGAATGACTTTATTGAAAGCCTTGGTATAAAACAAATATTCAAAAGGGTATAATTCTTGCTTACACTAAAGTTTGACTTGTTTTAGGCCTACATGACTGAATCATTTCAAACAGAAATGTTAAATTAAATATTTTTTTGAATGCTTGAAACATTTACTGGTATCAAGTATGGAGATACTAACATATAGGTCTTTCCATTTTTGGCTTTTTTTTGTCTAGTCATGCATGATCAACAGATACAAAAATAAACTAAATAAAAAAAACATTTGATCCTAATAAAATATCATGCTGATACAACCCTTAATTTCTCATTCATTTCAACTGAGTCAATCATGATTGTTGAGGTTTGTTATACAAACAATGTTTTCACCCCGTGCCTCTGAATGTAACAAACCGGTACTGCTTTAAGTTTTCATTTCATATCGATTAATTTCATTTCATTTAACTCAGTCATAATCGTTGAGTGCTTTATCAAATTTGACTTTATTATTATTATTAAAATATTTCGTGAGATATCGTAATAACAACTATTCCTTACAATGGAGGAAATATATTAATTAATGCTAGGCCTAGTAATATTGTCATTAAAAATAATAATGATAGGCCTACAATGATAATATAAATATCCCAAGACTAACAAACTAAATACATTTCAGTGTTTTATACAAAGTTGTTTCGTTTTGTTACTATAAAATGGAATCACATAATTGGGTTGAAACTCATACGAGGCTATAGAGTATACCTTACTAAATCATAATTATAATTACTTTACATGGTTTAAGTTACATAACTGTGAAATCTTGCCTTTAGTAATATTAAATGTGAGATCTTGCCTTTAGTCATATTAAATGTTGTAAACATTGTTGTAAACCGAGTGAAATCATATTGATGTACGTCAAAGACTATACTATCACCTCATTTATCACGTTAAATCTAGGCCAATAGACCTCCATTGTTTTGCTTATTTTAAATACTTTAATAAGCTTTCAATTCATGTTTTCAGGCAGTCGAATGGGTGTAGAAGCATACAATTTGAGATCGTATGCTGCTTAGACTATACTAATAAATCATTTTGTTTTAATGAGTGGCAGTATTTGGCACAAACCTTTGTCATGTAATTAAACTTACGACCGTACTTTGCTGTGGTTATGTAGCTCAGCTTCTATAACTAAAATAACAGGCATGTTTATTAGCGAGATATAGATACACTATAATAATAGTCATAATCATAATTTTATTTAGGTCTATCTCATGTGATGATCATTCGGCTAGATTCTAGACCGACATTAATGTCAGGTGCAAGGTGATTTAGTCATTATAGGATAAGATTTGCTTCTTCCAACCGAAATAGGAACGAACAGAAACATAGCATTAATGTCAATTATAACAGGTTGCGGCGGCCTGCCTTACCGCTTAACCACTCAATTCGCCTATTCATCATTCAACACCATCATTTTATCATTTAACTATATCAAACAATATTTATGCTACCACTTATTATTACCACAATTTCAAATATTTGTTTACTTTAGTGTACTTTATGCCTACACGTGCATATAGTATACTAAACTAATAATATATACCATATCACATACTATATTCTATTTTACTTAATTATAAACTTGACATCTTTTTTTTTAAAAGCATTTTGCTTATTGTGGTGACAATATATCTTACAATATTGATTGGTTTTGCTATTGTTGTTCTTAATTTGTGGAAATAAAGTATGTGGAAAAGTGAAATTGAAATCTTCAAAAAATGTTCGTGTCATATTAACCAATAACTCGAGATTATGTGTATTCATTTTTTTCATCAAATATTATGCCTTTTGATGAAAAAAAAAAACCAAAACAAAACAAAAAACAGAACCACAGCTTCTAATAAACGAAGAACAGTTCCATAATCGTTGTGTCAACGTCATACCGTTAAAAACAGCCGTCTTACACATTCGCTTAGTATCAATAGTCATGCAAGATACAAAGTTTATGCCAGCATTATTATTCTGACTACAGCACAACACAGAGCATTAGTACTACCTCGTAGACAGGATGTTTAGGATGTAATTGGTTATTCTGTTTACAGCATTTACGGGTTCTCTCCATATGTAGTTTGACACGGCCTTCTTTAAACAATGTGATTTTAAAACCAGAGGTAACGGAACTAGGAAGTGCACCTGCATGCGTTATGGAGTGTCGTAGTTGTGTGGGACCTGAATGGTGTGCAGTCGGTTGGTTGTTACAATGCTCGATGACATCGGTGTGCAGCAAAATCAAGATATTCATGCAATATGTATGCAAAATATGTACGATTAAAACCCGGAGTGGGTCGGGTACCGAAATTATCATTGTAAATTTTAAGTACTGCAGTTACTCCAAACGTGTAAGCCAAATTACGGTGATTAGGACTAATTACCGATGATAGGGAGGCAATTCAATTGCCCCAAGTACGATGTTCGTGATCAAATTGGATGCAATTGCCGTTTAATATATACAAGGGACGGAAATAATATTGTACATAACTGTATATGCCTGTAGTAATGCTACGGTGCGTCGTTATTTATTTCTTACGATCATTTAAACTACTGTGGTGTATTTGCAGAATTTTGCACTTTTGCAGCACATTAAGAGCATTGTCTGTAAAAATCAAAGAAATTTCAAAAATAGTGGCAGACTCAAAAAATGGATTTCTTTCAAATTTTGCACATGGCTATACCTTTGTTAAGAGAAATCAAATATGAAGTTTTATTCACTTTGTGCGTATATTTCCATGGCAACGGGTAAATTTGAATTTTTTGCAATTTTTGTCATTTTTTGCTGTTTTTAAAAGTTATTTTTAGTAATACTTTGATACAATATTTCTAATATCCTTATGGTTTATTCATAAAAAATAATGAGTGTGTGTATAAGGTCAATAAATTGGGTATCTGTTGCATATTTTTACATGTTTTTTAGATTTCGTACTTGGGAGATACCTAGTTTTTAAAAAGGGGTGTTTTAATTTTTTTTCAAATTATGAAAAACTTCCAAACTTTAATTGCTCATAAACCTCAATGCCTTTTTAGAACTGATTTTCTACAAATAGGCAGTTCTAATGCTCCCTTAGAGAATTCCAGTTTAAAAAATGTGGGTAATCGTAATACGTATGAGCAGTGTTGCCAGAAAAACTGGCATTTTTCACTTAAAAAAGTTATAATAGTAAAATTGACCATTTTTTTCGCTGATTTATTTATAGATTCATTTGATTAGAACAACAATAAATGTTTTTCTATACCTTAAGTAATGTTGTGATTAAAAATAAACAATGTTTGTGGTATCAATGTTGTCTATTTTCTGTTTTAGCGTTTAAAACCTTTTAAGGGTAGTTTATAATAATTTCACTTTATACATACCAATTTCTGTCAGTGGTGTCACCAGTTAGACACAGCACCTTAACCTGCCTGGGAATACCAGTCCCTGAAAAACACCCTCTCCTCCCCAACCAACATCATGCAACAACCCTACTCCTTCTTGTCAGGCATTATCGTGAAAAAATATAAGCTTATGTGGTCGTGGTAGGGGTGGTGCTAGGATTTGCCCGAGTCCTATGTCCCAGATGGTGGTCCGATTACAGCATTCAGGGGTTTCAATGGCTTATTTTATTCAATTTAGAGTCTATTATTATTGTGAAGGAGTATACATAGGTACCTGGTAGGGTTGAATGCCAAAATACGCTGATGTATCTGCTGCAACTTTATGGAATACTCCCCCAGGGAGCTTGAGTTCGTGTTCCACAGGCATTTAATCCAATGACCGGGGGTAGTAATGTGAAGCGCTTGTTGGCGTTGTTGGCGTTAAGTGCTATATAAATCTAAACGTTGTTGTTGTTGTTGTTGTTGCTGTTGCTGCTGCTGCTGCTGCCGCCGCCGCCGCCCCCGTTGTTGTTGTTGTTGTTGTTGACATGAACCGCTTGGTATCTTTTGATTTACTTCAAGGTTATTTTTTCATTTAAACCTGGTACTATAGATATTCCGCACAATGGTGCTATGCCCTAGAAAATTACTTTTCAAGATATATTTCTAAATCAATTGTAATATCGACACGCACGTTATTGTTTGGTTCTTTAAAGCTGTTTAACTATTTTCTGCATGACGTTGTGTGAATATACTACTTCAATACGTTTAAGTTTCACATCGCTGGAAATAGTGCTGATGATTGTTCTGTTGGCGTCAATATTTTTTAAAAGTTTAAATAACCACAACTAGTTTCTTAACATGTACTCAAACGCAATCTACATCATTTCTGATCCGCTTCACTGCCAGAAAGCTTTCCAAATCTTTTGCAACAGGTCATGAAATAGTTCAGTATACTTTGAATTATTTCAAGTCTATTTCCTTCATTTAGGCAGGGAACAGTGAAATTGTAATTTCACTGTTCGCTGATTTAGGTTTACAATTACATAAGCTTTGTACCACAGTACGATGCACTACAAATACTTTCGAAACATACTTCAAAGTTTGTTCAACTATTATGTACACGATTTTGAATGACTTCATGAATACGTTTTAGACTTACTTCACTAACTCTGTGACCATTCTACTATTTTATAACTATACTGTTTGTTTATTCTGAAATCACAAACATAGCATACGAGTACTAATAAACGTATTATTATCCGATAGTTTTCACTTATCTAGTTGGGGGCCTGAATTTTATGTAGGTGAATAAGTTGTTTGAAAGCGAAGTATGGCGGTTTGAAAGTTTGTAAATTTATATACTTTCTCGTAGAATGGCCTTCATAAAATTACTAAATTTTAGGATTTAGAGTTGAAACATTGAACCCAAACTTAAAAAATAGTAAGATTAAAGGTAATACTTTATATTTATGATATAATCACATTTTGCTCAAATGACATGTTATACTGTCTATTTGGCTCTTTTTCTCGAAACCTGGTGATGCGAGTTTACAGCCCTTTTGTGATCTTGGGTCACAAATAGG